AAAAAAATATACAGAAAGTTAAAAATTGAATAACATTACTATCGATGATTTTCAATCTTTATCAAGAGTATACTTTTTTTTCACGAATTGTATTTCAAATATCAAATAATTGTTTTAATTAAATCTATGAATACCTATGTTTATACGTGTGCGTGCAATCTTAATTTTTTTTTTTTTTTTTACATATTTATAAAGAAATCTACACACATATAACTACCAATACGCAAGCTGCCTCCTACAATTATGAAATTATAAACAAAATGAAATTCAAATAAAAGAGCATTAAAGATAGAAATATTTTGTCATCTAAAATACTTACTGCTTCCTTCTTTTTATTTTACTTATTTATTTTAAGCATTTAAAATGATGGAAAGAAAAAAAAATTCAGAGAAATCAAATAATATTAAGCATTGGTATGTAATGCTTGCTATGGATGAACAAACAAAAAATACACATTTAGTTTCTGCTTAAATAAAAATTATTATATAAATCAAAACTTTCTTTTTAATATACGTATATTAGATCTAAGATCTAATTCAAAAGTAATTTTGAATTTCATTTAATTATAAAATTACTATACCGACAGGGTCGAATTTTTAAGTGGAATATGTTGTAACTTGTAGTTAGAAATATATATATATAGAGAGAGAGAGAGAGAGAGTGAGAGAGAGAGAAGAGAGAAGAGAGAAAGAGAGAAAAACGAGGGTCAAGTAATCGACCAAACTTGGAGATAGCTTTTTATACTCATATTTATAAGTCAAAGGCACTTGCGATATCTGAATTTAGTGAAAATTCAGTTCCTTTTAAAATTGTCCTTAGAAAGGAACTAAAAGGGAAAACAACGAGAGAAGATTTTCATTGGATATAGACACTGAGAGAGTAATCAGGCAGACAGGCAGACAGGCAGGCAGGGTGGCGGGCAGTAGTGAGCGCAAATCATTTAATACGTTTCCAATTCCAAGTCATGTACAGTCGAGGTAAAACATTACCACAATTTTAATCATTTTATCTTTGAAAGTGTAAAAAAAAAAGACAAAAAAAAAAAAACTAGAAGGAGACGCTCATAAATGCTTCCAAATGCAGGACTGTTTATGCACATATATTGCTAGAAAAGAGCGTACGTAAAGTATAGCCTGGAAGAACGTTTCACGATCTCGTACTTTTGATTGTATATACACTCTATTTGTGTATGAAAATTAGTTTGGGCCTAAACTCTGTTTGTTAGTGCTTTAGCACGCACGATAGGCCATATACGAGCAGCAGTTTGCATTTGGTTGTATTGCGCATAGTTCTTTCTTTTTCTTTTCGCTTCGTTTCGTTTCGTTTCTTTTCGTTTCTTTTCATTTCATTTCATTTCATTTCATTTTATTTTATTTTATTTCGTTTCGTTTCGTTTCCTCTTTTTTGGACCTATATGAAAACGTTTCTACACGCACGATCATAAGCAAGGTTGTTTTTTTTTTACTAGGTATACGAAGATTGTACTCAGAAGTATCGTCAATACACTGGAAAACGAGAGTTTGGAAAGACTGTATTAATGCAGAGACGCGGTATCTAATTATACAAACTTCATGATTACTATATCAAGCTTAATTTATCTCCATTCTTCGCTACCTTCAGGCAAGTAGAAAAAATGCAAATACGTTTGTTAAACTTGCATAAGTACCATGGACGTAACTATTAAATGAATTTAATCTCTAAGACCCATGATTTATGTAAAAAATGTATCATATATAAAATATAAAGAAAAAATGGGTTATCTTGAACCCAAGAAATAAATTGTTTTTTTTTTTTTTTTTTCACAAATAATGTTATCACTTTTACGAGTTAAAGCTCTGAATGTCAACAAATAGAGTCTCTTTCTGATCTTTCTCCCCATTTGATATCGAGCATAGAACTTTTACAGAATCTTATGAACTGTTAATTAAGAAAAGTGGCAACGACCACAATCTGTCACATCAGATCATATAATGCAAATATTTATTGCAGCATAAACTGCAATTGTCGTTCTTGTATGTATATACACGTCGCTGCGTAGATTGGATAGAAATGTAGTCGTCGAGGCGGGTGGGTGATTGGCCCGCAGTTCAGATTGGCAACGCAGCGTAGTTCTTTTATGTGCATTCACGTAGATGACGATGACTGTGAACATGGAAGTGCAAAACAGGATGTCACATTATTTTCGCCATTTGTGGCGTAGTATGACTCCCACCGATTGAGAGTCTGTAGTCTCTCGATTATGTATAGATATAAGTACATGTATATCTATATATGTATATATTTATACATGTACATATGCATGCAATAATTTAATTTTTCTGAAGTAACGATCAAAGACTCTTCATCATGCAATTATGCTTTTGATCATATACGCTCATGCCATTGAAATTTAACAAAGAATTCATGAATATTTGGCAATGAGTTTTTAGGCAAAATTCAAAATTATTATAAATAAAAGATTTGATAAACGTTCAACGTTTGATAGAAATCAATAATGATTAACATTACAATTTTGCACGAATCCGAGTAAAAAATAATTTTCATCTAAATAGAAAATAGTTGTCACATCGTAAATATAAAAAGAAGCAAAATAAAATCAATTAAAAGAAATCTTTTGTAACTCCTATTATAAATGGTTTTTTTGTTTTGTTTGTTTGTTTGTTTGTTTGCCTATACTAAAAGTTTAAAACTGAATACAAAGTATTAAGAAATCTAAAGAAGCATTAGAGTCGATTTTGTACCTGGAAAATATGCGGATGTGACATTATGGAAACAATTAGCCATAATTGTAGTAAACTCACTATATATAAATATATAGATATAAATATATATATATATTTATATACAATTTACCTTCCTAATATCGAAATGAAAGATTATTGAACTCGTGCAGATGATAATGACACAACTTAAAATCATTTTACGAAGACTGGGTATCATTAGTACCTGCCACGGCCAGCCGGAGAGCGGCTTCGGTACCTCGATGTGCCAGTATCCTTGCCAGTGTAGTATTCCATGCTGGAGTCTCCGCTAGTAGTACCATAGGCATCTTGCATATATCCGTCTCGTGTAACATACCCACTGGTACGATTGGACATATAATCTTCTCCGTAGCGTCCTCTACCTCTACTTCCACCACCCCTGCCGCCTGAATAATAGCTGCCCCCATAATCTGCATACGTATTGCCTCCTCTATAACCCATACTAGAACCACCCCGAGAACCGAAATCCCTACCAGAAGTACCACGACTACCTCTGAATCCTACTCCACCCCTACCTCCACCACGACCTCTACCACGTGAAATTTCCACTTTTAACTTGACACCCATTATTTCTGTGCCATTCATACTATTGCATGCCAATTCTGCTTCATTCATATTGAGAAACTCGATGAAGGCAAAGCCTGGAGGATTGAAGGCCACCCAAACCTTGTTAAGCTTGCCGAATTTCTCAAATTCCATTTGTAGATCTTCTTTTTTGATGCTCTCATTGAGTCCACCAACGTAGACACGAGTATAGCCCTCCGGAGTCATTTTAAATCTAAAAAAGTTAGTTTGTAGCATGGAAGAAATGTCAAAATTTGAGAAATTTCGTTTGCTCATTTTTTTATATATAATTCTAACCTTTGTTGTTTGTATGCTTTATCTATTATCAATACAAATTCTTACTGAGAAATGAAACTTTATCCTTAAGGACAAATTAGAACTAAAATATATGTATATATATATATACTATATCTAATTACCTTTAAACATGCCAATAATACTAAGAAATGTTTATCTATAAAGAAGCAATCAATCTTACAAGCATGACATTAACTATACAACGTGTTATGCTTTATGCAACTTTTATTCAAATTTTATCCAAATTTTAACCGTTTGGATCCACGAAGAGTCATAATTGTATGTAATGTAACGCGTCTATTGAAGAAAAACAAAGACTTAGAAAAACACTTTATCTATGCCAACGAATTTCGTTCTAACTTGTCTTAATATGTTATTGTGTCCAATTTATTACAGATTTTCAAATATATAATTTCACGCGAAAGGTTAAAATAGAAATAGAAAATAAAACAAATATCTACATACATGTAGTAGAGATAGACTTAGATGACTTTACGCGCCAATTATTTTCAACTTTATTTTTCCGTTGTATCAATAAAGTACTTACCCCTTTCACTTTGTTGTGTAATTGTCTTGACGAAGCACAATATTAAAGAACAATTTGATTATTTGATAAATAACCGTACAAAGAAATAAACAGCTACGACAGCAGAATGATGTACACGACGGAATCAATAGAAGCGAGTCAGTAGGGGTCCACATCACACAGAAACTATATCCGACGCCTCTACGTCTCCAACCCAGACGCCCATTTTTACGAATCCTTTTAAATTGCTTTCAATTTTATAAACGTTATTATCATTCTATTGCAATCAAGTCTCATTTATCAATTATATTTTCTTCTTTATAATTAAATTCAACTATTATTTTAATTATTAATATGTTACTTTATCTTTTCTTCAAAAATAATTACGTTTTATTATATTTTTATTATACTTATTTAAAAAATTGCCGCGTCTGCCATTTGCATACATATATGGCGCCTTCGCGCAATGATCGCCGCACCATCTCGTGGCGAAAAATGATACTTGTATATTTTTATTCATATTTTTTATCAAATTATATACTGATTAAATATGAAATATCAAAATGCGTTTAATAGCTTTTCAATAGCTTTTTCATAGCTTTTTCATAGCTTTTTAAATTAATTTTCCAATTTACATTTCGTCTTATCTATATAGCAATCTATGTGTTTAAAGGGTTGAACACGTGGTCTACAAAGCTGCAAGATATCTATTTTTTTTTTCTTGGTCACAAATTTATATAATAATTATTATTAATATCTGATACTTATTATACACTTGTCTTTAAGCGTTGTGTCTTATTTAATGAAAATAGTAGTTGCTAGACGCACGCTACTATTAAACAAGTAGAAAAGGCGAATTTAGATACGTGTGAAAAGGGGTATAATCTTTTAGCTAACACACAAGCTTACTCACAGTTGCCTTGTGTTTTTCGTAGTTCCCATTTTGTCCATACCTTATGCGTAGATGTCGCACCTACGTTTTGAAGGAAAGATGGTGAACAGAGTCTAGTGTAGTGCATGCATGATTTCAGTCGTGACTTAAAATACGTAAACAACAATGGCGTTTTCCGTGAACATCTCGGTAGAAGCACCGATTGAAAATCAAATTCAAGAAATCACTTATGATGGACAAGAAATTTATCAGGCGTATGTAATGAATTTATAAATTTAGTTTTCTTTAGGTTAAGTGGTTTTACTTGTATGATTTTCTTTGTAACATTGAGTGTTGTGTTGAAATCTTGATGTCTGTGTTAACCTTAATTCTTATCATTTCTGTATTACAGTCCTCTCACGTTATCCGAAAATTTGGCCAAAATTGCCCAAAAGATAGATTTTAGTAAAACTAATGGAGAAGATATTAAAAAAGAACAATCTGAAAATGGTGATAAAAGTGAAGAGGATGCAAAGGATCCGGCATCTTTTCAATCTTCCTTGTGGCCATGGGATAGCGTTAGAAGCAAATTAAGGTATTTATAAATAAATGACAACGCAAAATGTTTCCACTTTTATTCGAATGATTTGATCTTTTTAGAAACGCATTAACAGAGGTATGCGTATTAGCTGATGTTCTTGCAATAGCGAAAGAAAAACATTATTTAGTTTTGGATCCAGTGCCTCAAGAACCGATCGAAGTTAAACCAATGGTCCAAGTATACGCTAGAAAGAAAGCATTAGCGGGAGCTGCTTCTGTTCTTATGATGGGAACAGAAAGATTACGAAATAGTCAAAATGAATTAGCTAGGAATCGTAATACGCTAGATTTTCACATTGAATTGTTAAGATTACGGCAAAATTGGCGTTTGAAAAAAGTATCCAATTCTATAATTGGCGATCTTAGTTATAGAACAGGTAATATTTTTCTTATGTCACTTTGATGATCTATTTTCTTGACAATAATTTATTGCAGCTGGCTCTAAGTATACGCAGACTGGCATGTTTGAAGTAACAAAAGCGGAAGAGGAAGAAAAACCAAATGGTAGTCCTCCTGCTTCACCTAATTCTAGTAGTAATACTACTGGCCAATCTCATGGACCATCCAACTCGAAAGCATCTGCATTACGTGTTACTATACCTAGCGAATTACAAGGAGTAGCTTATATCGAAGTATTATGTCAAAAAGGTAACATAAGAAAAATAACATTCATTTCGTATTCTATAATAATCTTGTTGTTTTTTTTTTCAGATCAAGAGGATTTATGTAGTGCTAATATTAGTCTACTTAATAGCAGCGCGCATAGTTCCAACACGGATATGCATTGGCAACAAAAATTAGAAGCTGCGCAAAATGTTCTATTTTGCAAAGAATTATTTAGTCAATTGGCAAGAGAGGCAGTACATTTACGTGCACCAATTCCACATATGGTTGTTGGAAATCAAATAATGGCAACGGTGATTGTTGTTATATTCTTTCAAATAGATTTTATTCAAAAGTATATTATTATGGAATATAGAGAATATTATTTGTTGTATCAGGTGCTGCCGGGAATTCAATTGATCATAGGTTTGTGTCATAGTACTGGAAATGACAAAAAACCAACTGCGCCTCCACCTCATAAGACTGATCATGATCATGTACTAGAACATTCCTTGCATCAATTATTACGTGAAGTACATCATAAAAATACTCATCATCCATTTCCTCATCCTTCGTCGGGTCCACTGGGACCTAGTAAACGACGATGTTTAGCTGGTCCAACAGCAGCAGATAGATACGAACTTTTAGAAATGGCTAAGAGCCAAACTCTATTAGAACAGATCATTCAACAAGCTCAACATTTTTTTATGAGATTACGTACCGAATACGTTCTCGATACTATAGCAAAAGAAGTCAAAGATCCTTTAATTGTATCTCATTGGATGGCATTAAATTCTCCTACGCAGTCATGCGTCAAAATTAATATACTAACACACGGATACGACAGTTTATATCGAACTTCTTTAATCGTTCACGTAGGAGAAAAATCACTTAAATGCGTCTGTAGAGACGGCAGAGTAATGCACATGAGTTATGAACCTCAGGAATTGAGAGATTTAATTTTTTGTCAGGTTAGTTTGTCAGTATTATTCATTGCCACTAACTTATCAAATAATTCATCATTGTCTATTCATGTGACTATTTTAGATATATCAACATCAAATAACGGCAGTACAATCTTTGGCAAAATGTATGGGCTGGCAACTTTTAGGAAATAGTTCGCATCTTGGTTTAGGTGCGGTTGAACCTTTAGGAAATGCAAGCAGTTGCATTTTAGCTTCACCGATCGGTGACAGGTATTTTATCATTTACGTACTGCACACTAATTACTATTAATAACAATTATTACATGTATTATATTTTTTATTTTCAGAATGATTGCTGTAAGATGCGAACCTCAAACAGGAATACAAGTGGCCATAGCGCATTCTCCTAGAAAAGATTTCTTTCCGGGTCAATTGGTGCGAGAAAGGAAATGGGAAAATTTAGGTGGTTCATTCAAAGAAGTTAGATGGGATAAAATGGAAGGAAAAAATTTTTTGAATAAGATGGAATTACTCATGGCTTCCTTAACAAGCAGTTCATAAAGGCGTTATATATAAAAGGGCTCGTTTGTAGTTCTACATTTCACAGGGTGCAAAACATACAGATCATATTATTTTAGGCAATTGTACAAAGTATCATACTTAACAGATTTGGACGCAATATATTGCTATTTTAGAAAGAAAAAAAAAAAAAAAAACAAGATAATATCGATATATTGAAAAGTTCTTAAGAGCAGTTTCTCTCGAACGATTGCAATCATGTAACATACTATAAATTTTAGTCTACTTATTATTGTGTATCAATAACAGTGAACTTTTATTACAAACAAATTTTATAAGTCAATATTCAATATCACCTTGTTATATTTTATGTACGATATCAAAAAGAATAGAGAACTCCGAAGATTCTGCTCTTGAAAAAGTCTAATGTTTATAAAGTTAATATTTTTGTAATAATTAATTTTTGAGATAAGAATTGATATGAGAATTTTACCAAATTCTCATTAATCTAAGTATTACATAGTCCTATACTTAGACTATGTAGAAAATAATTATAAACGTTATAATATTTGCGTATTAAAATATTTGAGAAATATATTTGTTATATTAATAGTCAAAAAGAGGTATGCATGGCAATTTGATCTGGAATAGGAGCAATAATGCGCTAAAACATGATTTCCATCCAAGAAGAAATTAATTGATTATTTTGTTATTAATGTGTGTGAAAAAAATGAAGGTTCTTTTTCTTTTTTTTTTTTTTTTTTTAAGACAGTGATATATAAAATATATTTTAACATTTAAATGAATTTTTAGTACATTAAACGTTTACTTCATTTCTAAGATGATGGTAAGGAATAGATCAATGCACCTGCGATTGTACAAAAATGGTTTTTTTATTTGAATTACATAATATATGAAATGTAATATGAGTGGGTTAATAAACTACTATGAAATATGACATGACTAAAATGAAATAGAGTGCGAGATATAACATGATCTAGTAATTATCTAAAATTACATTTTTAACAAATGATCATATATATATAAATATAAAATTAATGAACAATTCCTTACTTATCGCGTCTTTTGTATATTATATTCAAGTAATAGTTTGTTCTTAAACTTTTGCATAATGTAATCTGTATCATTATATCTCATACACATTAAATACACAACATACATTCATACAGTCACACACATTGTAGATATTAGTTTTTTTTCAAATGAATACGCGCTGTATACACACTGTATCATGTAACTAGATTTTGAATTAAAACATTGTCTTTGTTCTACTGCAGTTTGAACAATAACTACAGTATTTATTATTTATCTCAATGGATTATTAAGGGACGGACTAGCAATTTTAGCAAAAAATCTTAATGCTAGAGCGTACCAAGTTAAAAATAGATTGGGTTTATCTAAAATAGCTCTTGCAACATAAATTTGAAGAAGAATTCAATTAAATAGTGTATTTACAATTTGGCTGTGGTTATCGATGCTTTTGTTTAATAATTCTTTATTTTGTTCTCTTTTATTTTGATAGTAAATATTCAATAAGTATAACTAGAGATCATAAAATGTTTTACTAGTTATTTATTAAGAAATCAAATGTATTGCGTCCAGACTTGTATTCTTATAAAAAAAAAAAACAAATGAAATATTCGTTATTTTAATCTAAAGCTTATTAGCCAAGTATTTTATTATATAAATTCTTAGTTTCTTAAAAAGCACTGAGCTATATTCTGTATTTTTCCACCTGCGACCTTAAAGGCAAGAGCCGCATTAATGACTAAAATTATGTAAGCGAAAGAGATACTGGCTGCATACAATTTGTATACATTTAATAGGGTCATGCAAGAGACAAACAAATGTGATCCTACGACCCACACTATTTGTCCCCATTTTTGCTTATCGAGAGCAGCAAAAAAGATGACACCCCAGAATGTATGGAGTAAAATGAAGCACAACGTGGTGGATGCTGATACAATGAAGAAATATTCGGTACCGTGTCGAATGCCCATGGTTCCAGGACCAACTGCATCTGCTAACACATTGACCAGAGCAAAAGCTCCGCTCATGAAACCAAAGCCTAGGCCACAAACGTATGCAAAGACATGTCTGCTATCAGCTACATGAGTTGTTGTTACTTTTTCCAAACCTCTTTCGGCTTTGCGTAATACCCAGTATAAAAGATACCTATAAATTAAAAATATTCATTTTAATATGACATTGTTTTTACATGAGGGGAGTACACGTGCACGTACACGTACACGGATATAAAAATAAAAGCAAATGTAAACAAACGCATATTACCTGAATGCTTCTTGGAACAATACTGAAAATACTAATCCAAATGAAAGATGATCTTGAAGTGGAACAACAGCATACCATAGCACAGACGATAAAAGTAAAGAAATGAGCCAGAAAAAGGCACTGGCAATTAATATAATAATTTTGATAGGATCATTAGCTATAGTAAATGTGAACATGGCAAATGGAGGACCAAAAGCCAAGAAAGCACAACCGAAAAAATCCATAACCGTCATTTTAGTTGTTAGGATGAATCACTCGCGCGTACTTATTCTTTGTCAATTGACCTTTCTTCAAATGCTAACTGCTTCTAACCCTACAAAGCCTTATTACGGCTCGGATGTCGATTTTTGGTGGGCGCATTTATTGCTTTCCTACAGACACAATTTTTCAATTTGACATTTTACTATATCTACTTATAAGGTTAAGTGTGACTTTTCTCAACAATCTTTCGAAATCCTATTACTGATAATGGAAGCACTTTTGTATGAGTTACATCGAGATAAACCACTGTTATAATCGATTGTTCATCGATATCCTTAACTCGATATTTACAAGCTCGAACGTCATTATTTATTTTATGCAACTGATACAAGTATTATATAAATAGTTAATGAAAGTTAATTGAAGAAAAATATTAATATTTTACATGATTTATTATTTCTATTAAATGTCTACAGAAAAATGGAAAAGCAGTTGTTTGACAGTTCAATCGGTATTATTTTTCTGTACGTTATAACGTTGGTACCATTGACGCTATAAATTTACTTACGAATAGGCAGCGCTCTTGATTGGCTTTTAAAAATTGTTTACGTTAAACTCATTGTTTGAAAAGTTATTCAGATAGCGAGTGTTACTCGCTTGTACAGTATTTTTTATTGAATTGATTGAATTTTGTTTATAATGGTGCGATATGCAGCTCTCAAAGGATTATACGAATTGGAAAGGACCATTGGAAGCGGTGGTTTTGCTAAGGTTAAACTCGGTATTCACGTTGCAACTGGAGAAAAAGTAGCCATCAAAATTATGGATAAGACAACCTTGGGTGTAAGGAATTATTTATATTTTTAAGGAATTTTTCTGAAAATACATAAATTTAAATATATGTACAATTTGAAATTTGTAGGATGACTTGCCAAGGGTTAAATTAGAGGTAGAGGCACTTAAAACTTTGTTACATCAACACATATGCAAGTTGTATCAAGTTATAGAAACAGACACTTATTATTTTATGGTAATAGAATATTGTTCAGGAGGAGAATTGTTTGATCACATAGGTGATTATTTATTATTTACGTTGATATACTACTAGCTAAAGAAAAGCCAAAGTATAATTTGATTATTTTTACAGTTGAAAGAAATAGATTGTCTGAATCAGAGTCTCGTAAATTTTTCCGCCAAATTGTTTCTGCAGTAGCATACTTGCACAGTCTGGGATATGCTCATCGTGATCTTAAACCTGTACGTTTGTGTTTTATATTTTTATTATAGATATTAATTATTATTAGGCAAAAATAATCAGCTCTATTTATTTCTAGGAAAATGTTTTACTAGATAAAAATGAAAATTTAAAACTCATCGATTTTGGTTTATGTGCTAAACCAAAAAGTGGAATGCAATCGCATTTGTATACGTCTTGCGGTTCTCCAACTTATGCTGCACCCGAATTGATATTGGGCAAAAAATACTTAGGTATATATTATTTATTATTATTATTATTTATACTAAAAAGTACAAATTCATTAATTATCGTAATTATTTTGGAATAGGTTCAGAGGTAGACATCTGGAGCATGGGAGTTATTCTTTACGCGTTACTTTGTGGTTTTCTTCCATTTGACGACAATAGTATAGAAAATTTGTACAAAAAAATTTTGGTATGAACATCATGGCCATCATGAACATATATATTATTTTCCTTTCATTTGAATGCTATTTTAAATTTATCTATTACACTCAGAGCGGAAAATATGAGGAGCCAAGCTGGTTGTCGGTTGGTAGCAAAAGATTAATTCGTGCAATGTTACAAACAGATCCAAAAAAAAGGATAACGATTAAAGAATTGTGCAATCATTCATGGATAACATCAGGTTTCCTTAATCCAATATCATTTGTTCATAAAACTAATGTAAGAAATTTACAAATAATTTTTATCCTCGACATATCGGCTACTTTAATATATATAAAAGAAATGTTCTCTATTACTTATTTATTATTATTATTATTATTAGTTTGAGAAAGACGATGACGTATTAAGTACTATGTCTGCTATTTGTGGAGAGAACAGTTCGGATATATGGAACACATTGGCTAAAAGTGACAGAACCGATTATAGGACAGCTACGTATTTGTTGTTACTCGATAGAAAACTACGTGGGCTTTCTTTAAAAATATCATCCTCAGCAAGGTCTCATATTAAGCAAGGCTTGGTATATATTTATTACTACTTTTTATATCTATTTCTTCTTCCTAATTATTGATATTACGTATTTGTTGTTATATAGATAGGAATAGATTTACCACAGTGCAGTGAACGTGCAGTGAATAATTTGAATAATTTTATTACACATTTGGATCACTCTCCGAGAAGTAAAATAACTGAACAGTTACCTGCCACCAATGATTGTCCAACTAGACAGTACAAAACTCCTGTTGCTGGTTAGTATTTCTTTCTATTGTATCTGTATTTTATGATCGATGATACTTTACCATCGAATTTTATTTTATATTAGACAAAAATCGCAAACAATTCACTGAACCAAACAGTCCTCGTAGAAAACGATTAAGAAGTAAAGAGTTAGAGGATGTTTCTTCACCTGGTAAGTTCTATTTTATTATAATTATATACAAACTAATATATGTATATGTCAACATACATAAACATTTCT